TATACACATCTAGATGAGTATAAGAGACAGTATATATATATATATATATATATATATATATATAAACCAGCACTAAAACTATTTAAACCTTAACATTGGTTATTGTATGAAAAAGGCATTTTTTAACTGTCATAATTTTTGTGATCATGTGTACATTTATAAAACAACAGTTATAGATTACGTGTTACGTTGATTCAAATAATCAAATTATGTATAAATTGAATGGTAGATGATGATGTAACAATAATGAATTTAGGGAGATGTTAGAAACACGTTTTCAAGCTCATTCTTTTTTAAACTTATATTTTTATTAATTAAAATATTAAAATTTAATAATGATTATTACTTTGAATAAACTTTAATGAATGAAATATTATGTAAACTAACATGTTGATTCTAGTGTTCTTGTGAAGAAGACATAAATTAATTAAGATAATAATACTTTGACAACATTCTTTTTTATAATATTTTAATACTATTTACATATTATTTTGTTATTGATTCAAAATTATTTCAGAATCAATAATAATAATCATAAACATTAACATAATAAAACGTAGACCAATTAGAGAATGATACGTAAAAGATGTTAAAATGTTGTTAAAGTATTATTATCGAATTAATTAACCGTAAAAGAGTGAAATGAAAAGAAAAAGAGAAGAAAGTAATATTGTAATTTGTTGGCGGCAGGTTGGGTTGAGAACGAGGGTTTGGTGAGGAAGATGAAAGGGTTGTGTGTGTAGTGTGGTAGGTGAGGGATGTGCTTTGCTATTCATCATTAGTTGTATGATTTGTGGCTCATTATCATTGTAGCATAAGTAAATCTACACCTCCTTAATTACTAATATATTATAATATATTTCCATTTGCTTTTAAAAACTATTTAATTGAATTCGAGTTTTTTTTAGAAAATACATTATTTTATGAGTTATTTATTTTTAAACATATGCATTTATTTTTAAATTAAATAATAAAGATTAAAACCATACTGAATAAGAGTGTTTGCTAATTGAATATCCAGCCCACTTTGGATTGAAATTTTACTTTTATATATATATAAATAGAATGTAATGAAACTCACTTTTGGTGTGAATTGGTTTGAGTTAAATTAATTGAATTAAAATCTTAATTCTTTTATATTGAAAATTATAATTTTTAAGTATTGAACTAATTAAAAAATATTGCAATTAGAACATAATAATTTAACCAAACAATAAGAATAATTTATAAGAAAACATATTTGACTTGAATTATAAATATAATATAATTACATTGAGTTTGGTTGAATTGTTAAATAGTTGAAACCATTAACATATTATGTGTAACTATCCAAAACATGTTATTTTTAAATAATAATATTAGTACAGAACTATAAATCTTATATATTACGTATTCATATTCTTCCAAAAAAATTAAATAATTTATTTCAAATCCTAACATTTCATATTAACAATGAAATATTGTCGAAGATATGATCACATAATTGCATATTTGTGTCCATTTCAGTTTATAATAACATTACAAGAATGTTGTCGATTTTCGCTACTATTTATGAAATATCTACTTTATATATATAAACATACATATACTATCAACAATGGTAAAAATTAACCACGATAGGTAAGGGTAATCAATTGACATTACATCAATACATATAATTTTATTATCATCAACTTAATTTAAGTCATTATTATCATATTAGTCAACTTGCAACAAATATTAATCATTCAATTCATGTTTTAACACTAAACATAAATAAACCTACACGACTTTGGTTTTGGAGACATATGCTATAGTGTCGATATTCCTGTAAAGTCTTGCAGCTGTCATAAATTGTTAATACAATGGATTCAACATTAACAATAATATTTTTCCTTATTCCAAAACCATCATTCTTATCACAAAAAATAACCATGACAAGGTTAGTTCCTTTTTATCCTTTAAGTCACAGTATTATTTTGTAAGATTCCACAGACAAGAAACATTCTTCAACTCTCACGGCCTAAACCTCATTCTCTATGTGAGTATGAGAATTTAGTAGAGTCACGATGATTTCATTCTAGAATACTTTATACAAATGTATACACTACACTTTATAATATGATAATTTCTCCGTAGAAATAAAAAATAATATTCATACAATTCATCCAACATATATTAATACAATAATTCCATATATTTATCAGTCACACGACATACTTCAATTTCAAAGCAGTTACTCATTTTACCTAACAGATTTAAGACTTCTAAACCATGTTATTTTGATTATTAAAACTCAAACTAATTTTTTCTTTGTGAATTAAAATTATTATCATTATAAACCTAGTACAAGACATTTTGCATCTTAGCCTTATGAATGGCAAGTGCATGAGATAAGCTTAAAAGTCTCATTGATTTCGAAGGTTCCTCACTTTCCAAACAATATACTAGTTTTGCTTAATTTATTCTACAAATGAATGGGATAAGTCTCATTGATTTAGAAGGTTCCTCACTTTCCAAACAATATATTAGTTTCGCTTAATTTATTCTACAAATGAAAAATGTTCATTTTTTGTTGAAGTATTTCATATGTAAAAGTGAGATAGAACGAGGTTATTAATACCGCAAATAATACAAATAATTACAATAATATTAATAAATAAATAAAAATGAGGTTAAGAACATCTCACTTAAATAAATAAGTATAAATAAAAATGAGATTATGACACCTCACTAAATAAATAAAAAATAAGAATAGATAAATAAAAATGTGATTATAAACATTTCATAATAAAATAATGACAATAAAAAAATGTGAATGAATTTATAAACACCACGAATAAAATAAAAATAAAAATAAAAATAATAAATAAATAAAAATAAAATTATGAATATTTCACTTAATAAAATAACAATAAAAATTAAATAAAAATGAAGTTATAAATTCCCCCTTTAATAAAATGATAATAATAAATAAATAAATAAATGAATATAAATACCTCACTAATAAAATAAAAATAATGACAATAAATAAATAAAAATGAAATTATAAATACTTCACTAATAAAATAATAATAATAACAAATAAATAAAAATGAGGTTATAAATACATCACTAAATAAAAATAAGTGGTCAACACCTCACAAATAAATAATAATAATAAATAAATAAGGTTATAAACACCTCACTAATAAAATAAAGCAAATAAAATAAAGTAAATAAAAATGAGATTATAACACCACCTCAGGAATAAAATAGTAATAATAAATAAATACAAATGAAATTATAAACATCTCACTAATAAAATAATAATAATAAATAAATAAAAACAATGACACCAAAATAAAATAAATAAATCAATAAATATTGATAAGTAAAAAATATAAAATGATAAATTATTGCTTCTCTTCCCTTAAAACAACTTGTTCAAGTAATACTAATTCTCAATTAGATTGAATAATTTCTTCAAACTACTTTAATCTTTTTTTATCAATAGAGAAAGAAAATAGAAATAGTGAAGAATGAGTAAAATATATTGGTGGATACAACTACCAAAAACAATGTAATTTCACTTCTTTTCTTAACGTTATATACAAAAAATTGTTATTATTTTGATATTATTTTATTTTCAATACATTTACAAGTATGTAATAGTAAAACCACAATTTAAATGTTATAAGAGTATTTCACATTTAACTTGTTGACTCTTTAGAATAGTTGTTCTTATCTCAAATACAAAAATAATATTTCTTATTATTAACCTTTAAATGTAAATCTAAATCATCATTTTAAAAACATGCCGTAAAATTTTTATTTGTATACAACCATTTGGAGACGAATTATTACCAAAATAACTCAAAATAGAAAATAAGCAACGTTAATTTAAATTATAATTTTTTTCTTTAACCACAAATCTCTAAATAAAAATCTCCACGGTCAAAATGAAATACTATATCTTATGAGCTTGGAATAAAATTTTCATCACAATCTAATGATTAACAAAGTAAGAATAAATTTTTTACTAAAATAACTCAGAACTAAACAACATGTTGAGATCTAACTTTTACACTAAAACGCAAGAATTATTTTTCTTAACATAAACTTCTATTTGTAAATCTCATTGGTAATATGAGAGAACAATACTCTAATAATACTTTATAAAAAATTCAATATAATCTAATGATTTATAAAGATGTGATCACAATTTTACTTAAATAAATTATGATTAATAAATAGTTAACACCTCAAAATCTTCTTTTAATTCTTTATAAAACTCTTTTCAATTATTTCTCAATATACTTATAAAAAAATATTAATTTTAAAAAAATAAAGATAATTAACATAAAAGAAAATGTTACAATTATACATAATACATAAGATATTATTTATATGATAAATATTTGAATGTTACAATCAAAAATTATTTTTTTATAAGATAGTCAACCGTTTATATAGTATAAATTTATTAATTAAAACAAAAAAAAAATCAAATATTCTTCAAAATTAAATTTATTTTTTATTAAATTTAAATATGATTAATAATTCGTATGTTAGAATACCAATACAAATATTTGGAAAACCAAATACATCGTGGACTAAAATTTAATAACACACTATATTACATATTCACAATAACTAAAAGAATAAAATATAGTTCTAAAATGGATAAAGAAAATTCCCTGGTTTAAATTTGATCTACACTTTGAAGGAAGAACCACATTCAAAATTTCACATGGACACTCACAAATAAAATAATTAGAAGGACTAAAATGTAATTTTGAAAAACAAGACAGATTAATACAATCACCGTGCGGTCACAATGATCTCAATGTAAAACTGAAGGCACTATCTAATGCTTCAACGAAAGGTGCGTTTGAGAGAAAATCCGAAAAAGCCCCTAAAATGTTCCAGAAGCGTTTTCGTCTCCACCTCCTCCCTCTGTCGAAGAAGCATCGTCAGTTTCCTCTTCCACGTAACGTGGTTACCGTCTGTGACGGAGTTCAACAGCCCTCAGACGCCACCATAGCCAATCTGGTCCTCGAATCAGACCCACTCACTCTCTCCGAGGCCCTATTCAAGCCCACAATCCAATGGGCGCCCGAGCTCGTGAACAAGGTCCTGAAGCGCCTCTGGAACCACGGGCCCAAGGCCCTTCAATTCTTCAAACACCTGGACCGCCACCCTGCCTACATCCACTGCGCCTCGTCGTTCGACCACGCCATCGACATTGCGGCCCGCATGCACGACTACAACGCCGCATGGGCCTTAGTAGGCCGCATGCGATCTCTCCGCCGCGGCCCAACTCCCCGAACCTTCGCCATCCTCGCCGAACGCTACGCCGCTAACGGAAAACCCCACCGCGCCGTCAGAACCTTCCTTTCCATGCACGAGCACGGTTGCCGCCAGGACCTGAACTTATTCAACACCGTCCTCGACATCCTCTGCAAATCGAAGCGCGTGGAAATGGCGCACACCTTGCTCAAAACGTTCCGATCCAGATTCAAACTCGATTGCGTGAGCTACAACATAATCGCAAACGGTTATTGCTTAATTAAACGCACGCCGATGGCGTTGCAGGTTCTGAAGGATATGGTGCAGCGAGGGATAAACCCTACGATGGTCACCTACAACACATTGCTGAAAGGGTATTTTCGGAGTAATCAGATTAAGGAGGCTTGGGAGTTTTACTTGGAGATGAAGAAGAGGAAGTGCGAGATTGATGTTGTGACTTACACTACTGTGATTCACGGGTTTGGGGTGGCGGGTGAGGTCAAGAAATCTCGTAGGGTTTTTGATGCGATGGTGAAGGAGGGTGTGGATCCTAGTGTCGCCACGTGTAATGCGTTGATTCAGGTTTTGTGTAAGAAGGATAGCGTGGAGAATGCGGTGGTGGTTTTTGAGGAGATTGTGAGGAAGGGGTTGTGTGTGCCGAATGTGGTTACTTACAACATTGTTATCAGAGGTTATTGTCATGTTGGGGACATGGAGAGGGCATTAGGGTTTATGAGTAGAATGGGGGAACATGGTTTGAGGTGTTCTGTTCAGACTTATAATGTTGTGATTAGGTACTTTTGTGATGCTGGGGAGATTGAGAAGGGTTTGGAGATGTTTGAGAAGATGAGGGACGAGCCTTGCTTGCCCAATTTGGATACTTACAATGTTCTGATCAGTGCCATGTTTTTGAGGAAGAAATCGGAGGATTTGGTGGTGGCTGGGAAATTGTTGATGGAGATGGTTGATAGAGGGTTCTTGCCGCGGAAGTTTACTTTCAATAGGGTGTTGAATGGACTTGTTATTACTGGGAATCAGGATTTTGCTAAGGAGATTCTGAGAATGCAGAGCAGGTGTGGCCGTATTGTTCGGCGTTTGAAATTGTGAGATTTTCAATAGTTGGGTTTGGTAAGTTGTTTCCTTTTCTGGCGTTATTGTTTTTTGTTCTTGAGATCATATTGATCTATGCTTATTTGCTTCATTTGTGCTGATGTGTAATGTATGTACTTGCAGGAACACAACCCACATGTTTTTTCAGCAGTTGAAAGTGCATGGTGCATGGTATTGGAGAGCATGTTCCTCATTCTGTAATTTGGACGAAGTTTCTGTGATCTAGTGTGGGGAACTCACTGGTGGATGATGAACCCACCATTGCTGAAAATCTTGCTTTCAGGGTCTTCTCATCCAGGTTCGTTTCATTATTCCATTTTGATTTCCTTTTTTCTATTTTTGTTTTTGAACAAATAATTAATTTAAGTGTCGAACTCAATGTGTTTCTGACACTGTATGTTGAATTTCAGTTTCATTGATTCTTCTAACCTTGGTATATTTCAAGTTTCAATGTGACATGTTGCTGAAAAAGTTATATTTTATGAGCATTTTTCTCCCATGTTATCCCAAGATCTGCATATATAATACAAGGGTATGGACTTGGTTAATTGACAGAGATTACGTAGATATTTTTTAACAAAATCGATATGTGAAAACCTAGACGATTGTCAGTGGTTAGAGGGCACTTGCAAAATGGGCAAAAATGGTTGCAAATTTAAGTGGCTGACAATGTAGTTAGTTATCATGTGGCCATGAGTTACTGTTTTTAAACTAAAATTTTAGCTGATGTAGGTTATAGGTGCACCATTTGTTGTCACCGTGATTTTTTTTCAACTTTCATGGTAGTCATGTTTTAGATTTAAAGAAAGCTGGAAGGTTGAAAGGTTTATAGTTAATGTTGTTACTATTTAAGAAAAAAGTTGCATATATAAGAGCTTGTGTGAATATCAGAGATGTTAGATATGCAAATAACTCCACTTTGAGTTTGAAATTCTGTTTTAGAGGACATAAATTGAATGAAGAAGAGATAAATTGCCCAGATGAATGTGCATTTAGGGACCTATCTGGTTATAAGCTTGCTTGTTTAGAAGATTATATACCTTTTGCTCTACAATATAAAAAAGATATTGAAGGCCAAAATTCACCATTATTCATATTAATCAATAGGTTGCTAGTTACCCGAATTTTAAATTTTACTACAAGTTAGCCAACTATGAGTGAGTGCTAAGCTAGTGTCTACAATTTGATCCTATTTGAGGCCTGAAGATGCCTAAACATTGAAATCTATTGCCTGCAACAGCTTTGCTGCATTGGGTTGATGCTACAAGATTGGCTTGACATTTTCTGGATGAAGAGGTAAGGATGAATTCTGAGTTTGGTCACTCTAGCATGTTGAAAAAGATGAGCATATGGGTCTTGTTGACTCCGACCCGGCCAAATTTAACGGAATAGGTCGGCCGGTTCGGCCGGCTTTCAACCTGACTCTGGGAAACTTGTTTATGCATGAACAATGCTTAACAGGGGCCAATTTTGTTGCCCGTTTTGGTTCCTTCAAGCATACACAGAATTCACCAATTGCTTTTCATAAGAGTTCTGCAGATGATCCAGTTGCACCATCCTTCAGAATATAGGTGGATTCTTTAATACAATAGCTGTTATTGTCACTTTCTTTTGCCAGTACTCCATTGTAACTTGGAATAAGCTTCATCAATCTAATATTGCGTAATTGCCTTTGCAGGGATGATGTTGGGCAAGATAATGATGGAGCTCTTTAATCAACGATTCATCTTCCTTGCCTCTGATGTAAATTCAACTATTTTTGAATTAAGAGTTCTTTGTAATCTCTCTGTATTATTTGTTAGGAAGAAGTAATTGTGTGGAAATCAAATTGTGGTATTTGATCAAATCTTCAAGTGGAGGGTGGTGGGTGATGACGAAACTATTCATTATTTAATCACCAACATTTGTTAACTAAATTAGACTCTCTTATTATTTTAGACACTAAATTAACCTCTGACACGTTTAAAAACTAAATTAGTCATTTACTTTAATGTATGTGAAAATGTTCTTCTCATGAAACAAATACCCATAAAATTTATAAATTTATTTTACCACAATATATAGGATTTTACAATTCTACAAGTCTTACAGCAAATCACTAATAACCTTATAATGGAAGGTAAAGTTTGTTATGCTAATTGCGAAAGTAATTGGATTTAGCAAAAGAAACTATTGTTTTAAGATATTATTCTTAGATAGATTTATTTTTATAATGTTAAAGTATTTCTTCTTTTCCTCTACTATTTTTCACCTGGTAATTCTACAATTTTGATGATAAGATTTACCAAAATTTATTATTTTCCATGGATAAAGTTGCTAAAAAGATATTGATTGCATTTATTGGTAGGAGAAATATTCCAAAATTAGTTTCGAGTTTAATTTTGTGTTTATACTTTTTAAATTGAATTTATCTTTCAAAATACTTAATTTTAAATAATTTATATTTTATGGTGTAATTTATTAAATTTTGTTTTTTTAAGATAAAATATATTTAATAAAATATATTTACATTAACATTTTATTATGAAAATTTTAATTATACTTAATTTTTTTAATTTATAGTTTAAAGAATTTTTTTTGAACAATTTTATTTAAAATTAGAAAAATAAATAAAATATTTGAATTAAAAAAAATGTATAACAAATTTTTTAGACAAAAGGGATAATCATCCTAGTATCCATCCTCATTCCCTCATTTCTCTCTAGGTTGTATAGATGCATTGTGCTATATAATTAATTTAATTACTCTATTAAAATAAAAAGCCTCATAAACATGGGGAATTTAATTGAAGTAGTGAAGATTTTTGTATTCTAAACACACCATCACAACTTGTCCTAGAAATTGTTGTTCAAGATGACACTTTACTGGTGTGTCGGTTTTGAGAAAAAAAAAATGAGACTTTTCTTTTTTCTTAATTTCGTTTTTCACCAAAATAATACTGATTATGTATTGATTAAAATATCGTTGTACTTTCAATTCAAAATGAAATTTATGAAATTCCCCTAAAAATGTAGGGTTTAAGAAATGTAGGGTTTAAGAAGCTGGATTTAGATAGAAATTTTTCAGTCACAAACAAAGGGCCCAACAAAAAACGCAAGGTTAGTCTGAAAATCAAAAAACCATATGAAATTGTTGAGAGTGGGATTTGAACCCACGCCCTTTCGGACCAGAACCTTAATCTGGCGCCTTAGACCAACTCGGCCATCTCAACTTGATATTATTTATTTCTATCCTTTAGATAATATATTAAACTCAATTAGTTTTCAATTAGCCATGATGATACTTTCTTTACCAGGGTCTACTTTATTGATAGACGAAAACAATGAAAAAGATTTAACATTTCAATATTTATTGATATATGATTTTCCAAAATGAGATTTTAATTATATTGTAGGATTTTCTTTTGCGCATAATAGGTATCGGTTGATTTAGTTCATACAATAATTTTATTCTTCTTTGATGATGAAAGAAAGTGAAGCTTATAAGAGGAAAATATCTTGAATCCAAGTTGGACAAATAATTCAACAAATTTAGGTGTGTCTTTTCGGTCTTGTTTAATCCAGCATCCAATGTTGTTAACAAATCAAGTTAGTAATAATAATTAATTATTTATGGTACATTGTTCTAATTGTAAATATTAGGTTTATAATTTTCTAACCTTTTTTTTTTTCCTTTTCTCAAATATGTTTGGAAATGGTGATACTTCCATCCATTTTTTTCATTTCATAAATTAAGAGTTTTTTTTAGAAGTGGTATTATGATTAGGATTTGAGAAAATTCATCATTCTATGATATTGCAAACTCAAACTATATTTCATCCTTAAAAATGTAATCATAATTCAAATTAGTAGTTATAAACACTTTCACAGTTTTATTGTTTTCTTTTATTTTTGTGTAATCACTTACTACAAATCTGTTTAAAATATCATTAGGTTACCTTGTCAATTCATAACTGAAGAAAGATCTAAGAATTAAAATTCATTCAAATTTGAATGCCGGTAAAACAAACTCCCTTTACTCATTCAAATTCACAGGGAGAATTGTATCACTTTTGGTTTATGATTATTTTTTTTGGGATAAATTAAATACTAATTTAAATTTTAATAAGGTTCAAGATATCCTAATAATGGTTTAAAATACATAATGTTGAATGCAAGAATAAATAATAATAAATATTAATTAATAATGTAATTGTTTTGGGATTTATGGTCCAAAATAACGTTCAATGTTGTTTTTAATTTCAAATTTTTTTGTAATCATTTGTTTAAACATTTGGGAGGATACGAACGCACTTAAATGTCAAATTTAGCTTAATATTTGATAGTTGAAATATTAATAGCATGGTAAATGCATTTTTAATTAATAACGACCTATTATAGTTTGATGGTTAATAATCACACTTTATCTTTAAGTAATTTAGTATTAAAGTTAATAGTCTTGACCATTAATTAATCGATTTGACTTTTCAATTCGGATAGTTGTTTATTTGTACGTTTCAATGACAAATTAACTGTCCAATCTATAACTGATTGAACAATTATATAATACTGTAATCAAAATAAAAAAAAAAACAAAAGTGATAAATACAATAATTTGTTAGGTTGGATTTGAGACGAAGACAAACTAAATATATAAATCAAAACATCCTTTGAAAATGTATTAAATCCTTAAAAGTGGAAGCATGATTTAGCATTCTAACTAACACTCCACTAATTACATAGAAATGACAAATGTGACCATCATCTAACTACATTAAATTCAGAAACACCAAAATTTGAAAGAAGCATATGATTTACTCTTTTAGTCTATAATCCATTAATTACATGGAAAAGAAAACGGGACTCGTTGACTCTAAGTTCAAAAGTGGAGCAACAATTTCTTTATCTTTTACAAAACCATGAGCTGTATGAAAAATGGAATATCTTCTATTTCAAATGCATCAATCATGGTTAACTTTATATTACATATGTTGCGAAGTTTTTAAAACTATACATGAGAGAGATTAATGTTTTTAAATTACGAGTTGTTTATACAAAATATTTAATGTTATTTTCAATGATTAATCTTTATGATTTTTTTAGCGACTATATGTTTAATATAAGAATTTCAATTCATAATTATATTTCTGAATTAAATATAAGTAAGATAGTAATACATCATGATTTGGAAGTATTTATGTACAATAAATACGTTTACTACTTAATTTATCAACTTACTAATAGAATTATCCTCTCTTTAATTGTTCGTTCTCAAAACTTATTTTATGATTGGGTGAGATATATTGAAAATGGACTATTTTAACGAGTATCATTTTAGTCTTTCTCCTCCTTAGGAGTAAGGGTTATTAAAATTAGTAATTTCTAACAAAATTTGATTCCATCATAAAAATGGTTTTAAATTGTAAAAAGTTTGTTAAGTAAATATGTTTTGTAATTAAGGTTACGATTATGCTTGCATTTGGTACAGTGATATGTCTTTAAAAATAATATATGTTGTAGAAGATATTTTTATTTTGAAATATATATATATATATATATATATATATATAAAGAAAAATGTAACTGAACATGAAATATAAAATATTTATAATATTTTGATCTTAATCTAAAATAATAAATAATTTCTAAGAAGGAACATATTATTAAAACTGAAATGTTTCCTAAGAACTAATTTAAAAAAAAATATCAAGTAAATATTATCAATACTTTCTAGGTTAATCTTGAAGTCAAGACTATTTTTGGAATGTACAATTAAAAAATAAGAATAGATTCTAAAAATTAAGGAAGATTAAAAAAGAGATTATACAATTTCAAATTATTTGATTTTGAATTTCACAATTTGAAAGTTATTAGACTTGGCATGAGAGCATCTAATTTGAAAGTTAAAATATTTTCGAATTAAACAATTCAAAAAGTCTTTTTAGAAAAAAAAATTAATTATGCGATTTGAAAATTATTTTTATTTTTCGGATTGTATAATGTAGAAATATTTTTTAATTCTAAATTGCATTATTCAAAAGAATGCAAGAAGAAAATTTGTTTAGATAGGAGTGCAGAAAGAAATATACGGAGGAAGAAACTGACTTTGTGGACAGCGGGTTGGGCTTGGACCGGTAAGGTCTTGAGCTTATGAATTTTAAGTTTTACCATGTTAATCAAATTGAAAAAAAATGGTTAATATTTAAAATTTATATTCTTTATATGTACTAAGTGTTTCGAATATTTTTTTTATTATATAATTTTTTTATTAAAATATAAAATGATTTTTAATTATTAAAATAAAAATATTAATAAACTGTAAACTAATTTTTATAAATTTTATTAAGAATAATGATTAATTAAAATGATAGTTATTAAAAAGGTAAAGTTGAAAAATAATATTTTTATTATACATAATTATTTAAATTTTAAAAATTCATTATTGAAAGAATAAATATGAAAAGAAAAATTGTGCATTGAGTCTCTTTTATTATTAGAATAAATAATATATATTGTGGTTGTAAAAGGGGAAATATTATCTACACGGAACTTTTAATACTACTACAAATTGAAGTATTAATGATTTAATGGGTGGAATAATGAATCATGTCGTCATGCATGTAAAAATATGCTACTAACGTAGTCATTGAGTCATTTTTATGATTGTGTGGCTAGATCAATAGTCAAACAATCAAACTACCAAGAAATTATCTTTATAAACTAATTAACTTAACACAAAATATGAATATGATAAAAGAATAGGTAATGATATTTAATATATATTAATTGTTTGAAATATTATATATTTATAGATTTTCACATCAGACTACTTTTTACTGCCTAACAGTAAAACATTTT